TTGTCAAGGTCGGTCAGTGCTTCTTCACGCTTCGGTCTTTTCTGCACTGCATGAGCTTCACACGTGTGTGTGTCCTTTGGTCGCTGTGAGCAGGAGAGAGTCATCGAGATCGAGAAACACGAGATCGAGGAGCAGGTCGTGGAACTGCCCCAAACCGTGTACAAGGAGAAGTTCGTTGAGGTACCCAAGAAGGTACGCCTGTGTCAGACAGACAGACAGACAGACAGACAGACCGAGTCAGGCTGTCGGTCATGTCTCCTTCCGCTCATCAGGTCATCCAGCATCGTATAGTCTATGTTCGCAAGCCTCGGGTGACTCGGGACCCTTATCGGGTGAGCAGACAGTGGCCGAAATCGGCAGATAAGAGCACAGACGGAGGGAAACACACGCGAGTCTCCTCTCCTTGGCCTGCGTCCTTGTTTCTCAGCCTGTCCAGGCCCATCGCATGGCCAGTGTGCAGCCACCGATGAACATGAATGTGGCACAGTTGCAGAGACCGGTGGGCAAGAGAGACAGACAGCATGACGTGTCATGTCTCTCTTTGTCTCTCCCTTGTGCAGACGCTCGAGCCAGGCTATCTGTCATCCTTGCGTCATCAGGTTGTCCAGCCGAGGCTGAATCGGGAGCCTTATCGGGTGAGCAGACTGTAGGAAAGATGGGCAGACGAGAGCACAGACGGGAGGAAAGACACACGCGTCTCCTCTCCTTGACCTGCGTCTTCCTTTCTCAGCCTGTCCAGGCCCATCGCATGGCCAGTGTGCAGCCACCGATGGACAGGAATATGGTGTCGTTGCAGAGACCGGTGGGCGAGAGACACCTGCTTACCAGCCACCGACAGACAGCATGACGTGTTATGTCTCTCTCCTTGTCTCTCCTTTGTGCAGGGTGTGCACGGCGCTGCTTTGGTGAGCCCACGTCTGCCTCACGTGCGCCCGCCAACTTTCGAGCACATGGCAAGCAAGAGCAAAGGAACCGTGATGGCTCATGTCCATTTGTGCACATGCGCAGATGAGTAACCCGTTTGCGGCTCCGCCCCCGGCGCATGGTCCGTCGCGCAGGCTGGAGCATCTGTGGTCGCATCCTCCGCCGCCAGTCGAGACGGGGGTGCCGACGGTGGCGCGGGACATGGGAAGGGCCCCGGGTGTTGGCGATGTCGGTGGCATGGCCATGCCGCCCATGGGAACACCGGCC